TATCTCGTTTTTTGAATAAAATAAGAGGATTTTTTCCCTCGAAACTTTGGGGCTTTTAGTGACGGTATCTTTTACCGTCTCCGTCACTGGTTCACAGATTTGAGCGAATTTCTTCCCGCAACTGGTTGTCATTACTTCGTTTCGTTAATCTACAATACAGGGTGGTCCGAATTTTATGCTGGAAACTTCGAGAGTAGATAGATCTCTTTAAAATAGTAGGTCTCGTTTTAGAGATACAGGGGGTTGAAGTTGTTAAAAAAAATTGATTTTTTGTTTATATCTCCGGAATCCATCAACCGATTTCAATATAACTTAGTACAGATAATGTATGATAGTAGGCCTTGTATTCCCTAAAATATGAGCTCTAAAGGTCCAACCAGTGGTGTACAACTGGACAGGGTCACCCCCTTTTTTATAAAAAAAACCTACGCCACTGTATTTTTTACAAGCTATTGTAACGAATTTATATTCTAATGCACAAAATACGTAAAAAAGGTAACTTGAATTTTTTCCCTAAAGTTCACCGTTCTCAAGTTATTCATACCAATACAATCCCCTTGTGGCAGACACTTCTAACCATAATATTACAAGAATATTTATGTTTATGCTTAAAAGTAAGTGCAATTTGTAAGCACATCAACAAAATTCTTTACACTCATCGCTTTCATCTTTTTGGATTAAAACAATATTTGGAAAATCACGACAAAGGAATGAAAGGCACAGAAATGAAATTTTAAAAGCATTTGACGACGATCCTCGGGTAAGTACACGAAGAACGTCTCGGCAACTTGGGGTGAGTAAATCGAAAATTTGAAAAGTTCTACGTAAGGATGGCAGAAATCCGTACCATTTACAACCTGTGCAAAATTTACTTCCGGGAGATGCAGAGAGACGCCTGAATTTTTATCAGTGGTTGTTTGAATTCTTACTAGAAATACTTTGGACCGATGAGGCTACGTTCACAAGGCGAGGGGTAGTGAATTTTCACAATCTGGATATTTGGTCACAAGAAAATCCTCATGAAATTCGGAGTCATTTCTAAACTTTCTAGAAAACCATCTATTTGAATTATTAGAGGATGTTCCATTAAATATACGACAAAATAGCTGGATACAAATGGATGGTGCTCCTGCGCATTTTAGGAGAATAATACAAGAATGGCTTAATGAAAATTATATGAGATGATGGATAGGTAGAAGACCAAATGCCAATGTCAACCATAATGGTGCCGAGGGTCCAGTGTCTTGGCCAGCCAGATCGCCAGATCTAAACTCCCTGGACTTCTATGTTTGGGGTGACCTACTTGAAAAGTTTACTCTACTCCAATAGATACTAGACCACAACTAATGCAGCGAATAGAAGACAGGTGTAATGAATTAAAAGAAAACCACCACATGATATTAGCTTCAATTAGTTCCATTAATAGAAAATGTCAGAAATGTATCGATGTGGGTGGTTCGAATTTTAAACAATTGCTGTAAATACTTAACGTTAATTTTGTTTCTTGTTTAGTTGTTGTTGCTTGGTAAAATACATGTATTTTTATTATTATTTTGATTTAAATTGTTCTTATTTGTAAAGATAATGCCTCCAGGGAAAACTAAAACACACCAGGAACACTACCTCACAAGTGATGTGGAAAGAATTTTGTTGATGTGCTTACAAATTGCACTTACTTTTATGCATAAACATAAATATTTTTGTAATATTATGATTGAAGTGTCTGCCACAAGGGGATTGTATTTGTATGAATAACTTGAAAATGGTGAACCTTAGGGAAAAAATTCAGGTCACATTTTTTACTTATGTAGTGCATTAGAATATAAATCCGTTACAATAACTTGTAAAAAATACAGTGGCGTAGGTTTTTTTTATAAAAAGGGGGTGACCCCTGTCCAGTTGTACACCACTGGTTAAACCTTTAGAGCTCATATTTTAGGGAATGCAAGGCCTACTATCGTACATTATTTGTACCAAATTCTATTGAGATCGGTTAATACATTCCTGAGATATAAACAAAAAATATATATTTTTTTAACAACTTCAACACCCTGTGTCTTTAAAACGAGGCCGTTCCAGACCTATGTTTATAAGGCAAACTCCTATTATTTTAAAGAGATCTATCTGTCCTCGAAGTTTCCTGCATAAAATTCGGACCACCCTGATATATAGATTTTAATAAATATTTAAACAAATGGGATATTTTTTATAAATTCCAACATTTTGAGGTGTTCTATGACAGCGCAATTCGGCCTGTGTATTTCGGAACATCCTGTAGTATGTAAATATTTTCTGGTCAGCCTTTGTCCAACTGAGAAAATAAAAGAACTAACTAATAAATTATTTAATAAAATAAAATAATAATTTCTCTGCCGACTCCGCATGATACGGGACACATGAACCGCATATCAAAAATGTCCTCACTAAAGTCGTATCACCCCTCACAAGCTGAATTTACAGAAGCATTAAGCGCCTGTTATTATATCGTCACAGCGGAGTTTTGATAAACAGCTGTACCATAAAATTCTATGGCCACTGACTTTTCAGCCGACATATGTGATATATATTTAGAAGGCGGAAGCGGAGGTCCCTTTAGGATTAATGAAAATAATTTCACTTGTGACAGGTACAGAAATTTATACGTCTTTTTACTTCCCGGTTCGTTGCTTTGCGGATTAAACTGAAAATTATACGCTTTAGGTCGCATTTAGGGGGTAAAGTGGTGTTATCGCTTTATCATCCTGTATTTCGAATACGAAATGTCTGAGGTTGTTTGTGCTGAATTAATTTTCTCTTACCACACCATATTTTTTTTTCTATTCCAATTTCATGGCCTACTATATTAAACAAGTGTTAAAATTAATTAAACAACCCCTTTCATTAAAAGGATTAGTGACGTGTTGTTTCTATGAAAAAAAAACATTCTAAAAAGAGGCAAATTCGAGTACTTTCTACTGATACAAATCTATGCAAATGACGCTTCACTTTTAATAAGTTCGACAGTTTAAATTTCTTCATATTTTTCAATATTTGCAGCTAAAAAAGTCCGAGTTCTTGGAATAATAACACACATCTTTCACCCATTAACAGAACAATCGTGGCCTTTTTTAATTTCTTTTGACAGTATTATTCTTCTTTTCCAATGCTGCCCAAACCTCCACTAAATTTAAGACCGCTTTCACAAGCGAGTTTTCAAATTTTTAATTTATAAAATTCCCGTTTTTTACGCGCTCTCTATGTACATTTATTTTTATACAGGGTGTTCTACAAGCTCTATAATACACTTTGGCAGATAGTACATGGGTTAATTTCAAATATTTTTTCTGAGTACAGATCCGATTGGTTTTTGTTTAGAAGTTACAAACATTTAAAAACATATACTTCGATCAAGCCTAATAAATAAAAATGATGAACAATAATTATTTGTGTTTAAAATTCAAACAATTGTTAAGCTTTATTAACCAAATTAACAAATCTTAAGACTATAAAATTCTTCAAAATCTCCACTCTTTTTTTTATTATATCTGTAACCGCAACTGTGAAAGAGCATGTCAGATGTATTTGTATGAATATCCTGGAAAAATAGATCGGAATTTGTTTGAATTTTGAGCACTCGAGAAGCCTAGAAATAACTATGGACAAGGGAACAAAACTCTAATAATGTTTTATTTTAATGCGTGGTGGTAATAGTTTAAATAACTAGATGGATTTCACAGGGTCTAACGACGCTTACAGCGTATGCTAATTCAATAAACAAAGAAATCTAAATAAAAAATTTAGATAAATTCATTTCAATAGGACGAATGGCCTTTTTTGAGCGGGGTTACCCTCTTCTACAAGTCAGATCTGTTGAGAACGTGTTAATTCTCAGCAGTATTAGTTCTGTCAATGGCACAAATCGGTGCTTCGTGCTTAACTGTTGTTTCCCACAATATGATTAGTTACAAAGTTTATTTCATCTTGTGTCATGCTTCCACAGTACTTATAAATTTGTAGGTCGCTCTGTGCTAGTAGTAGGCAGTGAGTAACCGTGGGATTATTCTTTTCTATTTTTAAAGTGAATTGCCTTTTTATTATTAACGTATGATCCAGGAAGATATTTAATTCCCCAACAATGTCTTCATTTAATTTTTAACCTTAAAACGCGTCAAAATACCCAAGTTCACATAAAACTAAACCAAGTCACAAATAAATAATATGAGACAATATCCTAGAATTTCCTATTAGACATAAAAAAGATGATGTTTAATTCAGTTCTACCTACTTATATCTTGATTTGCTATCAAAATTTTTTTCTGGTATACTTATATACAAGGCGATTGTTTCAGTAATCACAATTTTTAAAATGTAGGTATTTTTAAGATTCTTTATTGACTTAATAAGTCATTATGTTGAACACTTTTCGATCACAAGACTGTCTTTGTACAGGTTTTAGATTTTAGGGTATTGTTAATGCAATGAGAGAGAGTGCAATACTGTGATAAATCTATCTACAAATATACTGGGTGTTACGAAAAGAATGTCAAGCCGTTAATCACAGAGAATGAAAATAAAGGGACTTTTCTTGTCTCATTTTTCATTTAGGCGCTTCTTTTTCAAGACAAAGGGTATAAAAATCATAATTAAAAAAATATTAAAAAAAAACTTTTTATATTAGATTGGGCACATGAAATTTTGGTAAAAAAAATCGTTACACTAACAGAATAAAGCATTGATTTCCCATTTTATTTGCGCAGTTATGATTTAAGAATAATGTTTTCCTGATTTCCTACTTTTTTCACTTTTGCAAAATTTTGATTTATTGGTTACGAAATATTCTTTAAACATATTATATATTTTTTTTATTTTAGACTACACTTTATTTTTAAAAATTAACAAATCTTTTTAACTTTTTTATATCTGAGAGTATTCTTTTTTTTGTGAATATCAAGGAAATTAAAAAAATGTGTAGAGAAAAAGGAAATAAGAAACATTGCAATAATAATGAACGAACTTCTTACCTGTTACTATGAACATGACCCCTGATACAAAAGTATACAACGTCCTGTGTCGGAGGCATTGGCCTAATATACAAAATATATACGCTATCGAGAGGAGAAGGCTGCTCATCAGAAAAAAGAGTACGGTCTTTTTAACTGTATCTGAAAATGAGAAAAAAGGAAATCATTAGTGTGTAAAGGAACACTTTTTGAGCATATTTTGCTCGATGTGCGCAAAATTTTACACACTAGTTGCAAACAATATATTTTGTTCTACAGAAAAATATATGTTATATGGTCAATGGTCAATTCAAATTATTTTATATACTAAAATCAAATAAAATTAGATTTGCATAAAGTAACTGTTCTATACATGATAGTAGAAAATTATTATATGTACAGGGTGTTTCAGGATTAAGTTGACAAACTTTAAGGAGACATTCCTCATAAAGAAATAAGAAAAAAATCTATTAAACATTTTTTTCCAGAGACGCTTCATTTTCGAAATATAGGGCGTTAGAGATTTAAAAAAAATCGAATTTTTTAAATACCTTCTAAATGAAGAAGGCTATTTAAGTCAAATTTGGCATGACACATCTTCTTATAAGATACCATTTTTCCATAGAAGTAGATGGGGGTCAGGCTCATTAAATTATAAAAAAAATTAATACGACCCTACTGAAAATAAAAAATGATGCTGTTTTTATATAGAACAGTTTGTTATTGATAAAAAGTGTAGATTCACTTTTTTCCTAAAGCTTACAGTTTCATGGCAAAATTGATTTTTCGGAAGGGTGTTTCTGGATTCTGTCGATAAACTTTCGGAAGACGTTCCTCATAAAACCTAAAAAAAAAAAATATAAAAATATAGGCAATATTTACTCGAAGGGGAATTTTAAACCAAAGGAACAACCATATTTGGTCCTACGAGAAATCACGAGTGGTAACATAGTTTTCAGCATGAATTCCAATGTAACGTATGGTTGGGCGTGTTGGACAACATTATACAGGGTTGGAAAGTCCCCATGGTTCATCGGCCTTTACGTGAGAGCGATAAAGTAAGTCGTAGAAATCTATGCGATAGAGAAATATGGCTACAATAAAGGCGTCTAATAGTCACCGCCCATTTCGCCCTTCCACAAATAAGAAGTGGATTTTATTTGTGGAAGGGCGAAATGGGCGGTGACTATTAGACGCCTTCATTATAGCCATCTTTCTCTATCGCACGGATTTCTATGACTTTCTTTATTGCTCTTACGTAAGGGTCGATGAACCATGGGGACTTTCCGACACTGTAGTTGCTCCCTACTTCCTTCCACATTGGTTAAATACTGACGTATTTACCGAGTTCCTTGAAAATGGTTTTCAAGATCTGTTAGAAGATGTTCCGCTTAATGCTCGAATGAACAGTTGGTTTGAACTAGATGATTGTCCTGCCAATTTTGGTAGGGGTCCTAGGGAGTGGTTAAACATTAATTATCCCAGGAGATGGATTAGTCGTGGAGGACCTGCAGCGTGGCCAGCACATTCACCGCACTTGACACCGATGTATTATTTCGATTGGGGTGCTGTTAAACAAAAAGTCTATGAGGTGCCAGTTGATACCCTAGAACAAGGGTCGGCAACTGGCGGACCGCGGTCCAGGTCCGGACCGCGGAAGGTAAAATACTGGACCGCCAAAAATTTTTTGAAAGTATAAATTACTCAAATAAATTATTTAAAAAATGTTTTTTTACGTTTAAGTGCCAACCTTATCATTTTTTCTAGTATTTTACAATTGTGTGAGTGTTTTGAGTTCTTAATGGTTAGTAAATAGATTAAATTTGAGTTCAAATGAAAATTTGTAAGAAATATGAATTTTTTTTCTGGACCTCGTTAAAAATTTTTAAAAGTATCCGGACCCCACCTAAAATTACTTGCCGACCCCTG